GCTTGGTCTGCAAGCCCTTAACCATACGAGTGGCCCTTCTCTGGACCCTCTCCAGGTTATCCGCATCCTTCTTGAATTGTGGCGCCCAGAATTGCACGCAGTACTCCAACTGCGGTCTGACCAGCGCCCGATAGAGGGGAAGTATCACCTCCTTGGACCTATTCATCATGCATCTGCTGATGCACGATAAAGTGCCATTGGCTTTTTTGATGGCTTCATCACACTGCCAACTCATGTTCATCTTGGAGTCCACTAGGACTCCCAGATCCCTTTCCATTTCCGTGCCACCCAGCAGGTCATTTTCTAGGCTGTAGGTGTGCTGGACATTTTTCCTCCCTAGGTGCTGCACTTTGCATTTCTCCTTGTTGAACTGCATTCTGTTGTTTTCTGCCCAGTTGTCCAACCTGTCCAGGTCTGCTTGCAGCTGTTCCCTGCCCTCCGGCGTGTCCACTTCTCCCCATAGCTTTGTGTCATCTGCAGACTTGGACAGAGTACATTTCACTCCCTCATCCAAGTCACTGATGAAGACATTAAAGAGTATCGGTCCAAGGACCGAGCCCTGCGGGACCCCGCTGCCCACACCCTTCCAGGTCGAAACCGACCCATCTACCACGACTCTCTGGGTGCGACCCTCCAGCCAATTCGCCACCCACCGGACTGTGTAGTCATCCAAGTCACAGCCTCTTAACTTGTTCACCAGTATGGGGTGGGATACCCTATGAGGTACCCTATGAGGGATACCCTATGGGGTGGGATGTCCTATGAGACCATATCCAAGGGTTTTTCCTAAGATCATTTTGGTTATTCATATCAACAAGTTACCTACTAAATCCATATGAAAGTAAATCTGAGTAGAGATTTCATACCTTGAATGAAAAGTACTTTTTCTTTGTCAGAAAAAGTGTACAGGATTACATTAAGTCTATGCCATATGCTGAGAGAGTTAAAGGCGAAGAAGTGTCCACTCAGAAGATGTCCAACTGGATATGATAGTTTTCAAGTTGTGTTACCAGGCAACTGGAAAATTATGATGTTCTTCAAGATGTTTAGTCCGCATGCTTAGTCAACAACTCAGCCCCCACTACCACTTTTCAGAGACCACACACTATGAGTGGTTTGTACGTGAAGGAGCAAGAGTAAACCAACTATGAAACAACTATGAACCTGCAGTTCACACTACGAAACAACTATGAAACTATGAACCTGGGGTTGTACCCACTTTAAACCTCTCAACTGGATGAATGAAGTATGTGAGAGTTGTATGCTCTGTCCCAACAATCACAGGTAACTCGAATATTCTCTGGCTCCAGCCCAACATGCACCCGTTGACATTTGATATGTATATGAACTCCTCCTAAAATAGCACAAGTTACTCTACAGGTAAATTACTACTTTTTGGTATATTTTTTCTCCATTACAGCTATTGGCATAGTAAATCATATATAAAACCCTCATTGACTATTGTTTTCATACAACAGCAAGATAAGGTGCTGTGGTATGAACATGAAATTCCATAACCAAATACAGTAAGCTAGAAGTCTACGTGTATGCCATTGAGCCAAATTAAACCTTATTTGAGTCCTTAGCTTTAAATTTCTTAACCTCTTTTGACCCATGTTACATTATTGAGATTGTTAACATTTGTGTATACTACATGCTAGCCAGTGTTTCAAGGTAACTTAATACATGTTAACCGATGTCAGTTTTTTTGGAGGAGGAGTTAGGGGGGGCAAGGGGAGAATTAAAATATCATTTTTTCTAACACTGACAGAGACTATGGTAAAAAACATGAAGTTGTTTGCTCGCTGTGAATTTGTCATAGAATTTCTGTTATGAGACCTCCAATTCCCAATTTACAATTTGAGGTCCTAGTTTTGAACACCTACATGAATGGCTGATTGCTTAGTAATGATTACAGGAAAGGATTGCCAAAAGTCATGGCTCCCAATGTGGTTTCTGCACCCCTGGAATGGTGATGTCAATTTACACTCTGCTGAGAAACCACCCAGAACCTTCTACAGAGCAGATTATTGCAGCTCTGGCTGGTAAGTTTTCTCAATGAAATGTTATGCTTAATATATGTAGTACAATAAAAAATGTATATTTTAGTGGGAATTCTATGCATAATGTATCTATAATATGCATGTAAAAAGATTACTCAGAAACATTTACACAATTGTTAGTTGCTGTAGATGCTGGATTATCTTCCTCCGACTTGGTTCTCGGACACATTGAGCATCCAAAACCCTTCTTAAAATACAGTCAAAGCTGTAAGGGCTCAGCAGTTCTGAAACCCACGTCAAAAGTTTTATGAAAAAATACTTAAAGAAATTTGAGTCTGATAATTCCACACATACATTGCTTGTATGATTTTCTTTAAATGCCACAATGACTAACATGCAATTACCTGGTTAAGCATAAAGATCCTGTTGTAGGACATGTATGTACATTCTCCATCACAAGCACATTTTCCATCAGCTTTAAAGGGATCATTTTCTTTATTTTGGAAATCCATTTTTTTTCTTTAGCAGCTTCTTCCAGGCTAAGATTTCTCTAGTGTAGTTACAGGGGCACAAATACTGGACTAGCCAGGCCATCAAGAGCTTACCGTAACACGTACAATTTATTCTTAATGGAGCATCTCCTCTTTATCTACAGCAATTTATAGAACTACTAATAAAATCATAATTCTAAGTTAAACAAATATTCTGAATTATTACCAACTATAAACAAGATTAATCTATTTCTAAAACATTAATTTCAGGGCATCTCACACCCTTCCCATCTTAAAATTAAGGTTTTCCCATCTTTACATAGCTCCCTAATTAAATATATTGCTATCATCCTAACAACAGTTTAACTTAGGAGCCAACAATTTCCTCTAAGTCTAGACTGATAAAGCTGGCTGTCCCAAAGAGCATGTTCTAGTATTTTCTTGAGGTTTTCCTACAAAAGGTTGTACCTATTTTTTGTACTGGCATGCTCTCATCTCTTGATGATTCTTGTTGAGATATGTCTGTTTCCAAATGTTCTGAGGCAAGGTCCTTAGAATAAAGTGCAGATAGCAGGTCTCAGACTTCTTCAGGGCAATGGCTTCTTCAGGATTCATTGGCATGCTTTTTCTCAGTTTAGAAAATTTGATCTTATATTATCAGACTATCAGCTGGATCAACTAATGACCATAGTACAATTATTGGAACAAATCCTGGAATTTCATTGCTTTTGGCCTCTTTTGGAACATTTGATGTTTCCTTCATTCTTTTCTATAAAGATACTTCCTTGATTTGAGCAGTGTCTTTCCCCCCAGATGGGTCTTGACTTTGCTGCACGAATATAACACACTATCAGGGCATTCACAGAACTAACTAGCCTGCTACATTTTCTGGTTTAATTTTGAAATAAAAGATTGGATTCCCTTCAAGCCTACCCATGACCAGGGAAAGACATTTGAGAATAAGTTATTTAAATAAAAATACTTATCAACCTCTACTGAATTTAGCTGACTGTTTTCACTGAATGTTCCTTAGCAGTGTCAGAGAAGGAAAGTGAAAGGGCTATCTGAACAAAGAGATGTCAGTGTATAATTGCAATTAGTGAAGCCACAATTTTCCTACACTTCTCTTTCCTACATCTAATATAGGCAACACTACCTATTGAGTTATTTTTTGGACTGAGACTGAAATAGGATTATGGCCTCTATCATTGGTATACTGAGTCCTGGAAGAGACAGATGATGGAAAGAAAATACTGGGGGAGGACGGGGGCGGGACACACAAATATATTATTTCAAGGACAAATAATATTATGACCAAAAAGTGCAAGGACCTGAAGTTTATTTTAATGATGACATATTGGAGCAAATTTTGTCTGGACAGAGAAAGCCAGGAAAGCTTTGAACATTTTGGGAAGATCAAGTTCATGTAGTCACTAGAAAAAAAATGAAAAAACAGTCCTATATAAGATGTTGAACTAGGAAGTGGAGCAAGGAATAAGATACTTCATCATGACTTGCTAATGTGCTTATAATGTTTTATATTCAAATAAAGACAAGAACTATCTATGGGGAAAGTGTTTCCAGAGTAAAGGAATTGTCTTTGCAGGAAAGACTGAAGGGTATAGCCTGAAGGACCGTGGGAGCAATGAAAGGGAGTTGTATCATGGGATTTGGAATTGTACCATGTCCATCAGTTGACCCAACTAACCATCCTGACAACGTTCTACACATAGAAACAAACACATAAGTGAAAGAGAGTTCAATGTCATTTCCAGCTATACACCACCATCTTCAGAGGCCTGCTGATATCAAACACCACATTCATAACTTAGTTTCAAAACTGAAAAAAAAACCCTGTTTCAATTCCTGGAATAATGCTGTCCTTTAAAATCTGAATCTTGTGATTTATAGCATGACGTTGATGTTGATTTGATCCATGGCCATTTAGTCAGTCAGGGATCCTGTTTTACTAGGAGGTATGTGCAAGTTTGTCTCAAACAACAAATTTTCAGTCTCCACATTTTGCAGTCAGCTGAACTACATTTTTTTTTAAAAGGCCCCAAGCAATCCATTCTCACGGAACCTCCAAATTTGTTACACCTTCAGTCATAAGATCTGGCTTTTCAAGGAGAATAAGTAAATAGTCAAAATTATTAGTAAATAAAAGGTATATGAATCTACTCCTAAAACATCTATTCCAGGAGTGTCCCATGTCCAGTTAAAGAAATGTAGGTTACAGATTAATAAATAGCCTTTGAAGTTTGTCATGAACGTAAGAACATAAAGTGATGCCATACTTGGTCAGACCACACGTACATCAAGCCCAGTATTCTGTCTCTCACAGTGGCACAGAGCAGATGCTAAGGGGAAAAGTATTTACATAGGGCCTATCTAGACTGAACTGTCCCTTCTTCCCTTACAGCTTCTAGCTCTTAGAGGCTGGAGAAGTTCTAACCTCTTCTGCATTAATTTGTCTAATCCTTTTTTGAACACTTAGATTGTCAGCCTCCGCAACCATTTATGGTAATGAGTTCCAAAAGTTAGTTACACACTGTGTGAAAAACAACTTCATTTTGTTTGTTTTAAACCTGCTTTCTAATAATATTTTTGACCCCTAGTTCTGTTATTATGCAAGATAGTAGTAAACCCCTTTTTACTCTCTGCATGCTATTCATAATTTTATAGATGTAATGGAAGACTCCTACCCATTACTGAGAAAAAGAGAGAAAGCGGGAGCTCTGCCTTTACTACCAGTCAGCTCCAGGAGGCTGGGAGGGTCTGGGAGAAGGGCCCTGGTAGTGCTAGAGAGAGGAGCTCCTATAAGAGAGAGGTGGTAAAGCTGGATCTCAGAACTGCTGGCTGAGAGTAGGTTCAGAGAAGAGCCGGAGCTTGGTGAAGTCTAGCTGGGGAGGG